TTATTGATGGGAGGATTCCCACTCTTATAAACCCATTGGCTTAGTGTGCCTAGTCGATTGGGATCTCCAACATGCAGTGAGCTTGCTGGAAATGCATCAAATACTCAAGTCTGCAAATTGGTGTGTTCTGGAAATTGCAGAATTGTGTTCTGGAAAATTGCAGAATGGTTCATGCAGCAGTGACTTAACGTGCATGGGAGAGTTTTTTGTGTAATTGGTTATCTTGTTTTAAAGGGTATTTAAGTAAGTTCATTAGAAGTAAGTTTACTGTAATGTTGTGTTGAAATTTGAATTTGATAGCTGTAACTTCTGCTGTAGTAGGTGTAATTAGCAGAGAGTGGATATGTGTTATATATTGTTTCTTTAATGAAATGTCAGTAGCTTTTTGCAAAATCGTTTTTGGTGCTCTGTTTTTATCTCTCTCTCAATGTTCTTCGGCTGAAACCTACAAATGGTATCAGAGCCAGCCCCATGTGAGCTGAGTGATTGACCAGCGGTGGGCTGCCAAACTACCTCCATTCATAGGCAAGTGGACCATATGGGCTTGACCGTGAGGGGGAGTGTTGGAGATCCCATATCGACTAGGCACACTCAAGCCAATGGGTTTATAAGAGTGGGCAATCCTCCCACTCAATAAGGCCTTTTGGGTGAGGAGTTAGGCCCAACTCCAACAAGTCCCTTTGACGTTAGTCTCAATGCTGGTACGTACCGGTGCAACGATCAGCATCCTGTTCTTATACATGGAGGTAATCTATCACCTGTTCTTAACTTCTTATACATGGAGGTAATCTATCACGTTTTTTTAGTTTCTTTAAACAAAAAGTTTCATCGAATTAAAAGTAGATGAAATAAATAGAGTAGCATATTTCGTTGGGTTTATTTACCGATTAAAACAGCTTATTTAAAGTTATACACTTTTAAAAAAAATTATGGTGCGTTTGGTTTATTATTTTGGATAGGATTTTGCAAATAATATTGGGTAGTTGAATAGAGAAGTATTACTAGGTAAAATTTAAAAATTTATTAAAAAACCCCTAGGTTTACTAATTTAATTAAACACCCCAATATATAAAATGACAAAAATACCCCCACCACCTGCAATGCCAGATTCCTGTCACTATCACCGGAATCTGGCCGAAAAATCACATTACGACACAAACTGGTCGGATCTGTGTTGTAACGCATTGTTATGGCCTTTTTCGGCCAGATCCGTCACGGATTTGATCGAAAAATGTCAGATCTACGGCTTATTGTGGCCGCGACGACCAGAAAAGGCCAAAATGATGGCCATCTTTGGCTGTCAGTGATGGACATTTCTTTAGCCATCGTCCAAATCGGTGAATTACCAGCCAATTCTGGTCAGTAATTCACCGTTATGGCAGATTCTGGCTACCACCGATAATGGTTGCCAGAATCTGGTAAGTATGGGTCACGGGGGTATTTTTGTTAATTTTTAAACTTTTTTTCAGGGGGTATTTAATGAAATTAATAACCTTATAGGGTCTAAAAATAATTAAAAAAATAGGATAATATTTCTAGAATAATGTGTCAAACATTATTTGGAGAATAGAATTGAGAATATGGACAGAAATAATAAGCCAAATATGCCTTTAATTATTTGGCTGCATCTTAAAAATACTTAAAAGATTAAAATAAATTATTTTTATGTCTATTAAAAAAAGCTCTTGAACTTTTTTAATACCTTTTAAGCTTATTTAATAAGTTAAAATTTTAAAAATATTTTTATACTATTCTATTATTTGACTTTATATTTCTTGTATATTAAAGTCTCTTTTATTAATTACAAACAAGAAAATTTGGTTATATTTTTCTAATTAAATAAGTAACAATTTTTTTTATAAACTCTATTCTAATGAGCTCTATTCTATACACTTTATTGAAATAAATATTACTGGTAAGGGTAGTGGCGGTGCATGGACAGGTAGCGCATGAGTCGGGGTAGATTTCGAGAAGAGAAAGATAAGATTTTATTGGAGGTTGGCGTTGCTTGGCGACTCGATCGTATAGATTGCTGTGAGAGATGAAGTGGCTTTTAAATTTGTGGGCCGCTGATTTGCACGAGGTAGCAATCAGAGAGTGATAAGAAATGGCAATCAGAGAGACAATTCGGACACCAATTTTTTTTTTCAATAATGCTATGGATACCAAAAAAATTATATCGAAATTGTGTATCGATTTACGTATAACACGTCTCTTATTTTTTTATAATTTTTTTCTAGTGAACGGTTGTCCATCAAATTTAAACGGCTATTCACTCACATGGACGCCCGTCCATATTATATGGACGGACGTCCATATACAAGGGACGGGCGTCCCTATTTAAAGGACGCCTGTCCATAAATAAATTTTGAAAATAAAAAAAAAAAAACTTTGGGGACAGCCATCCATAAATTATGGACGGCCGTCCATACTTAAAAAAAAAAAAAATGTTTGGACGGGCGTCCATTATTTTAGTTTCTACAAATTAAAGAAAAACTTTGGATGGGACGGGTCCATTACTTACGTTTTTGTGAAATTTTTCCAGTGATAGCAATCTCATGCAGTATCTCCTGCACATCATCAGCCAACTTTTTGATGTCCTCCGGCCAGTATAGTACGTTTGCATCCTGGTTGAAGTTCTGTAGCTTATCCTTATTCTCTTCATCGCTGCTGACTTCCCCGAAAATCTTAAACTTTTGCCTCCCCCAAAAAAACACATTGAATGAAGACGAAGAAGTAGACGGGCGAAGTTCTGCACCTTCTTCACTTGCCTCCATGGAAACTTTATTGCATCCATTTTGATTTAACATGTTAGAATTTCAAACACATTGTCTTAGACTTTCAAACACATTGCCAGTATAGTACAGTTCAACGAATATTCATGGAAAAAGAAGTGAAAACTTTCAAACACATTGCCAGTATAGTACAGTTCAACAAATATTCATGGAAAAAGAAGTGAAAGACTACTTTCATGGAAGACTAAAATAAAGGACGGGCGTCCATTTTCCAAACATTTTTTTTTTTTTTTAAAGTATGGACGAATAGACGCCTGTCAAACGTAAGGGACGACTGTCCATAATTTATGGATAGCCTTCCAAGTTTTTTTATTTATTTTTTAAATTTATTTATGGACGGACGTCCTTTAAATGGGAATGCCTATCCCTTGTATATGGACACCCGTCCATATAATATGGCGGGCGTCCTGTGAGTGAATGGCCGTCCAAATTTGATGGACGGCCGTTTACTAGAAAAAAATTGTAAAAAAATGAGAGACTGTACACGTAGGCCGGTACACGATTTCGGTGCAGTTTTTTCGGTGTCTGTAGCATTATTGTTTTTTTTTTTCTTTTAATATTTGATGTAACTCATATTCGTAATTTTATTTATTTAATTTTTTTAATAAATTAAATAAACACAACGATCTTAATAAATTTAATTACACTATAAATTACTAAATACTCTTTTATCTAAAAAGACAAAAATGTTCTTCTTTTTCATAAGTGTTAAATTATCTTCTATGTGTGTAACTCATAAACACCTCATCATACCGACAGTTTATAGTATCGCGATTAATATCAATTAATCGTCTCACTAATACACAGACCAAGATTGGCCCCTAGCAAGGCATCATGGCCACCCGATAGATTCGGATTCAGCAAAGTAGCTACCTGTCAACGATATGGTTACCGTACAATACGATCCTTTCATCATACGTTATCTCGACGAGACGAAGGCATATAAATAGTGTCAACCTTCGGTTACTCTCGATATTATGTATTCAGTTTCTGGACCAATAACCTGTATTATAATCCAGATAGAGCAACAACTCAATCCCACTGTGGCCACAGTTTTAGTGTCATTGCCATATACTGAATTGCGCCGTGAAATAACTTCTCTCGTACCCGAGAATGATGAATCCTCTGTCGATCCACCATATTCTTGATACACTCCTTGATGCAACTAATCACCATCGTATTGACAGCTCTGAAAAGAACTACGTTAGGCTAGTGTCAAACTACACCAATCGGTGCACAAGGTGCTCCTATGATCTCAAGTCTAAGGATCACATGTACCACCATTCATTAGAGAATTTATTCCATAGACACTAGGGTTACCATCCATATGGAATCCTCCAGTGGGTCAGTCCTTACCGTATTATCTGTGCCCTTACTTCAGAATAATACTGGAGCTACGGACGTTTCTAGAATGGCAATCATATGTGCTCATAGAGTTCTCACTATCAATATTTAAAATATTTGATACCCTAGTTACAGTTTTACCATTCTAAGAACATATATTAATACATATTGTATTAGTAATGATTTACACGATACATAATAAAATGTCTTTTATTATTAATTAATAAATATTATTATAAAAAATCAATTCTATAATAATTGATTAACTCTAAGTTTTCTATTCCAACAATATATGCGGGTATATCCGGTCTATCTGAAAAAAAGAGCTGGACCGGGTAGGATTAGTTATAAACGGATACTAAATGAGTGACCTGCACTTCATATTATTTTGTCAAGAAGAGGTCCACTCGCGGGTAAATACCCGTTTTGCTAGGTCTATCTGCTACCAAACATTGCCTTCGTAAATATTATGTGCCCCGTCATAATTTAATAATCTTCATTCGGTTCTTACTTCTTTTAGATGCTTTCACATAACTCCCCATTTATATATATCTTATTTTATTTAATCCAATAAGATTAAATTCTCTCAATTAAGACGCTTTCTGTCTTTCTGCTGTTCCATCACATGTATGATAGAATCATATCCTACAGCAGTGGTCCGCCTCCACAAATATCAAGACGATTGACCCCTTTGACCTGAGTTATGTATTTGTAAATCTATTTTCTTTAAATCCTTTCAAAATAACCCCTTTGTTTATTACAAAAACAACCTTAGTGGCCTAAAAAACTTCATGAGAACCCTTTCTTTTCACTCATAAAAGGAAATAAAAAATGAGTGTTACAGCGAGTCTTTGCCGACATAATTAGCCTACAAATACCCTTGAGACATTGCCCTTTCTAAACTTGAAATCACTTGGTTGAAGCAGAAAAATGGCCACCTCAAAACTTCAAGTCGCAATGTTTCCCTGGTTTGCCTTTGGCCACTTTATTCCTTACCTTCACCTCTCAAACAAGCTTGCAGAGAGAGGTTTCAAGGTCTCCTACTTATTGCCCAAAGGAGCCTCGCTAAAGCTACAACAACTCAACCACCACTCAGAACTTATTCACTTCCTTACTCTTGCGGTTCCCCATGTAGATGGTCTCCCTCCAGGTGCTGAAACTGATTCCGATGTACCATTCTCTCTTCATGACCTCCTTGTTTCTGCCATGGACAAAACTCGAGATAAAGTTGAGACCATTCTCAGCAATCTCAAGCCAGATATTGTCTTCTTCGATTTTGCACGATGGATTCCAGCAATAACCCGTCAGTTAGGCACCAAATCAATCCACTTTTCCGCGGTTAACGCATGCGCATATGCGTTCTTCATGGTTCCAGCTCGAAGAATTTCTGTGGAGACTACCTTGGAAGAGCAAATCCAACCACCGCCTGGCTACCCATCTGCTACTGTGATAATAAAACCCAATGAGGCCCCTCATATTGCTCCGCTAAACGATGCCCCTGCAAGGGCTTCCCTTTACGAACGCTTAACTGACAGCTTGAAAGAAAGCGATGCAATTGCTATGAGAACTTGCCGTGAAATCGAGGGACCTTACTGTGACTATCTTGCACAACAGTACTCAAAGCCTGTGCTGTTAACAGGGCCTGTATTGTCTGAAACACAAGCTGCACAGCTTGAAGAGAAATGGGATAAGTGGCTAAACAAGTTTGAGCCAGGTTCAGTGGTGTATTGTGCATTTGGTAGCCAAATGAGACTACAAAAGGAGCAATTCCAAGAGATGATATTGGGGTTTGAGTTAAGTGGGTTTCCGTTCTTGGTAGCTCTGACGCCACCTCATGGATGTTCAACCATAGAAGAAGCATTACCTGAGGGATTTAAAGAGAGAATTGCTGACAGAGGTTGGGTAGATGGAGGATGGGTACCACAGACACTGATACTAAAACATGCTTCTATTGGGTGTTTTGTGAGTCACTGTGGATTTGGTTCGATGTGGGAATCTTTGGTTAGTGATTGCCGAATAGTGTTGATTCCATATCTGCCTGCCCAAGCAATGGCTGCTAAATTAATGGTAGAAGAACTGAAGGTGGCAGTAGAAGTGGAGAGAAGAGTTGACGGGATGATTGGGAAGGAAGGTTTGAGGAAGGCAATCAAATCAGTAATGGACAACGAGTGCGAATTGGGTAAATCACTGAAGAACAATCATTTTAAGTGGAAAAATATATTTTCTGGCAAGAATTGGCAAGATGAGATGATTGATATTTTCGTTCGAGATCTGCAGTTTATTTTGGAATCTGGGAAATAGAAATCTCCAGGGGCCTTCATGCTCATGCATATGCAATTTAAATGCAGAAATGTATAAGCTCTGTAGGTTGAGTGGGCAGTGGGAGACAGCTGTGATCTTGTTATAATTTTGAGTGCATATTCATATATTGGATCATTTACCTTTCCAACCTGTAATGAACTTCCCTCAACAACTTGTAATGAACTTCCAAAATATATTAAATAATTTTGAGTGCATATTTATCTCTTGGTTTCATAATTTAATAAAACAGCTAAATCCTTTAGACCCTTTGAAGTTTGAAGTTAGTTTTAGTGCTGGAACTAAGGTTTGGCGAAACCAAACTTTCCCACCCTGGGCAGGTTATATTAGTGTTTACTGTTCATATTTGAATGAAATGATAAAAATGTCCTTAAATAATTTATTTTTTAATTAGTTTATTATAAATTAAAATTTAGTTAAATAAAAATTTTTATTTGATTATTTATTAGTTCAAATGTAAAAATATATTTTTTCCTTTATTTATTTAACTAATTAGGAATAATGATTTTCTATATTAATTAATAAAAATAAAAAATATTATATTATGAAAAAAAAATTATAAATTTAGTAGATTATTGAATAATAACGATTCTGTGATAGAATATTAATGACATTATAAATAAATATTAAGGTATTTAACTTTAAATAATTACATAGCATCACTCATAACTTTTTAGTTACGGCTAATTATTATTATTTTTTTTTTTTAACTTTTTAATATTTGACTTTTGGCTAATTAAAAAATTAAAATAAAATTTAATTTAAATATTTAAGAGTATTTTCATATTTTTAGTTAAATATTATCATAAAACATAACAGAACTTAACGAATGGTGGGAAAATGTCATTTTATCAAACCTTGGGTGAGAACATGTCATTCTTCCATTTAATAAAACAGCCAAATCCTTTAGACCCTTTGAAGTTTGAAGTTAGTTTCAGTGCTGGTAGACCTGGTCAAGGAGACAAGGACTGGTCCCAAGTAGGCCCGGGCCTGGACCCGTTTGGGATTGGTCCTTTTGGGACTAGTTGCTCATTTGCTTGGGACTGGGACTAGTCCCATTTGGGACCAATCGCTCATGTGCCTCGAATCGATCTCAAGCCCATGAGCAATTTTAGGACCAGTCCTATAGGCCCAGGACCGGTCCTATGGGCCTACAAAATTTATTTTTTCTCTTTTATTTTTTTTCATATTTTAGGGACGAAATGAAATTCTGTAGGGGGTTTTAGTAATTTTTAGGGGTAAATTAGTAAGTTTCTAAAAGATTAATTTATTTTAAAAAATAATAAAAAAATTAATAATTAATTTTAACATAAATATAATATTCTTACGTTCACGTTCCACAAATAAACAATTAAATAAATTTCAACTGTTGATATATCTATCCAAAACAAAAGTTAACAAAATCTAAAAGGTACTGCAAAATTAATCAAAGACTTTAATTGAAGATACACCGTCGTTGCTTTGCTTGTCAACTGTTGTTCAACAAAATTAATTTGATACTTTGGAGTCTGAAGATGAAGAAAATTAAAAGATATTGATTAAGACTATCTTGTATCCATTGTTTTTTTATCTCTTTTATTGTAAGAAATTTTTTAGTTATTGAGTGATCTTTTGGAGAAGAAGAAGATGATTAATAATAAAATATACTAGTTTAACTCTAATCAAGTAAATATTTAGGTTTGTCTTTTAGACCTCGCAAACGAGTGATGTAGTGAAACTTAGATAAGTATTACGTATGCTCTAATGTAATGGTTTGAATTTATAAAATAGTTCAAATCAGTGACCAATAATCTCGAATGTCCGAGTGATTTCTTGAATCTAATGATTAAAAACTATAAGAAATGATTGAATCCTGATAAATGAATTTTTCAAACACAAATTACTATATTTTTTTTTATTAATAGGAACATCTTTTTGTTTATAACATAACAATTAATTCTATTAGTTATATATATCTATTCTCAACATTACTATATATATAAATAAATAAGAACAATATGTACAATATAAGCTATGTGATTTGCCTTAAAAGGTAGCAATATATATGACTTGCCTTAAAAGGTAATATGTACAGCAGCCAACGGTTATTAAACAAATTTTTTTTTTTTTTTAACCTTTATAATTTATGTTTATTTCAAAATTTATAGGAGGTTTTATATAATTATACAAGAGACTAAAAAAAAAAAAGTTAAAAGGGTTTGGGGCCTTGGAGGAGGGCCTAGTGGAGGGATCGGGCCCTCCTCCTTAGGCCTAATCTGGTTTTGAGCCAGGCCTATTAGGACCAGTCCTCTTAAGGACCGATTCTATGACTAGGTTTTTGGGTTAGGTTTTTGGATCCGATCCCAAATACCCAGCTCTAAGTGCTGGTACATACCTGTGCAACGACCAACATGCTATTCTTATCCATGGAGGTAATCTATCACAAGTTTTTTCTTTAAACAAAAAGCTTCATCAGATGAAATAATGGAGCAGCATGTTTGGTTGGGTTTATTTAATGGTTCAAAAAGCTCATTTAAAGTTGTAAATACCGTTGAATTTTTTTTTAATCTGGCTAATTACATATCAAAAAGAAAAATAATAGAGTTATCAAAGAATACGTATCAAATTTATACACCTAAAAACGTTATATAATTCTGATTGTCTATAAATTATTAATTATTTTTAATCTATAATTATAATTATGTTACATCATTTGATACATGAATTAGACAAATATTCCTACAGCATTCCGCTGTAAAAAAATACTTTGGATTTAAAAAAATTATTTTACATCTAAAATCTATATATAATATATATTATATTTATCTCTTCTTTCAATAAATATATATATTTTTATCTCTTCTTTCAAAGAAATATATATTTTTAATATTTATCACTTCTTTCAAGAAATATATATTTTTATATTTATCTCTTCTTTCAATAAATATATATATTTTTATCTCTTCTTTCAAAGAAATATATATTTTTAATATTTATCACTTCTTTCAAGAAATATATATTTTTATATTTATCTCTTCTTTCAATAAATATATATATTTTTATCTCTTCTTTCAAAGAAATATATATTTTTAATATTTATCACTTCTTTCAAGAAATATATATTTTTTATATTTGTCTCTTCTTTCTCTCTTTTTGACCGTTTCTTCATCCTATTCCTATCTCTTCTTCTTCATTATTTTTCTCCATATTTCCTCATTCCGTTCTCTTCTTTTCTTCCTTTTGCTTTTGCTTTTTCTTTTCTCCTCTTCTCATTTTTTTTCTTCCCCTCATTCTTTCCTCTCTCATTTCCTCTCTTTCATTTTTTTATTAGTTTATCATGGCAGCCATGGCAGTGTCCGCATCTATTTACCCAACCCCTCAAGTTCGCCGGAAAAAGGCCACGGCCACTCTCCTTGTCTGCTTTTTCTCATCTTTACAGCATGATTCCATTAATTGAGCTCCAACTATATTAACCGAACTCGAAAATCGAGTTCGAGTACCCATTTAAGATCACGAATTCGAGTTCGATCTTCGTTCCCCAGGCTTGATCGAGCTCGAACCGAACTCTACACTGTAACATCCGAATCATTAGTCAGATACTAGGTACAACAAACATCATATTATTTTATTTAATTTATTTTAATCAATATTATTACATCAATAATCCTTTTATATAATTTGTTTTTTTTAAATTTATGCAATAAAAGGTGAATGAATGATTTTAAATTTAAAATAAATTTTTAATTAATATTTTTGTCACTAAATTTTGGAGAGAAAGTTTATGTTGTGACTCTAATTAATTAATTTTAATTAGCCTACAAATACTCTGAGACATTGCCCTTTCTAAACTTGAAATTACTTGGTTGAAGCAGAAAAATGGCCACCTCAAAACTTCATGTAGCAATGTTTCCCTGGCTTGCCTTTGGCCATTTCATTCCTTACCTTCACCTCTCAAACAAGCTTGCGGAGAGAGGTGTTAAGGTCTCCTTCTTATTGCCTAAAGGAGCTCTCACAAAGCTACAACAACTCAACCACCACCCTAAGCTTATTCACTTCTTTCCTCTTGTGATTCCCCATGTTGATGGTCTCCCTCCAGGTGCTGAAACTGCTTCCGATGTACCATTCTCTCTTCATCAACTACTGGCTTCTGCCTTGGACAAAACTCGGGATCAAGTTGAGACCATTCTGACCAGTCTAAAGCCAGATATTGTCTTCTTCGATTTTGGACGATGGATTCCAGAAATCACCCGTCAATTAGGCACCAAGTCATTCTACTATTCGGTGATCAACGCCTGCACGCTTTCGTTCTTCAGGGTTCCAGCTCGAAGAATTACTGTGGAGACTACCATGGAAGAGCTAATCCAACCACCGCCTGGCTACCCATCTACTACTGTGAAGATAAAACACAATGAGACTCCTCATATTGCAGGGCTAAACGATCCCCGTCTAGGGGCTTTCCTTCACGAGCGGTTAACTACCGGCTTGTGAGAGTGTGATGCAATTGCTTTGAGATCATGTCAAGAAATTGAGGGAGCTTATTCTGACTATCTTGCACAACAGTATTCAAAGCCTGTGCTGTTAACGGGGCCAGTATTGCCTGAAACACCAGCTACACAGCTTGAAGAGGAATGGGATTAGTGGCTAAACAAGTTTGAGTCAGGTTCAGTGGTGTATTGTGGATTTGGAAGCCAAATTACTCTACAAAAAGAACAATTTCAAAAGTTGATGTTGGGGTTTGAGTTAAGTGGGTCTCCATTCTTGGTAGCTCTAACGCCGCCTCATGGATGCTCAACCATCGAAGAAGCATTACCTGAAGGGTTTAAAGAGAGAATTGGTGAGAGAGGTTGGGTGAATGGAGGATGGGTACCGCAGACGTTGATACTAAAACACCCTTCTATTGGGTGTTTTGTGAGTCACTGTGGATTTGGTTCCATGTGGGAATCTTTGGTTAGTGATTGCCAAATAGTACTGATTCCATTTCTTCCTGACCATGTTATGGGTACAAGATTAATGGTAGAAGAACTGAAGGTAGCAATAGAAGTGGAGAGAGGGGAAGACGGGATGATTGGCAAGAAAGCTTTGAGCAAAGCAATCCAGTTAGTAATGGACAACGAGAGTGAATTGGGTAACT